ATGACACAGGACAATGACAATTTAATTCATACACTATAGCACTACTTCCTTACCTTAGACTTTATTTTCTTTTTCCTTAACTTTTTATCTCTGTTTGATTTCTTTTTACGAATTCGCTTTTCACAACCTGTATCAGGATTAGACTGTATGTCTTTTGAACTGTCATTAATTATTTCATCCTGCAGAAAAAAACAATTTAATAAAAAAAATTACCAAGTAGTAGAGGTAAGTAGTGTTAAAATTGCAAAAATTCTCACAGTAATAGGATTCTGGTTGCCAAATTCTCATCCAATGTATAAATAGAATTACTTTCAAAGTTATCAATATGCGACTGTAACTATAAATAAGTCGCCAGATAATCGACAAAATCATTTAGCAATGCCAATAAATTGTTGGTAAATCGTATTCGAAGAATGGCGTTCCTGTTTACAAATGAGATACCGAACACACTAAGAAATTAGGATGAATAAGATTTCCAATTCATGACTAAGAAATCAGATTTATTAAACTCTATTAAAATGTGTAAAACAACTTCTATCTTTCAACAAAACAAATATCACACGGTAACTCATTAGAGATGGTATATATACCTTGACTGCTTTAACAGCTTTATCATATGCTTTAATCAAAGCCTCATCATCCCAGATATCTGACTCTTCACTCTGAAAGCAACAATGAAGAAAAATTATTTTTATATACTGGTATGTGCAACATACTTTGGCTGGATATATGACCTGACTTTTAGTGGGATATCAGCTGACTTGCCCAAGTTTTGGTGGGATATCAGCTGACTTGGCCAAGATTTGATGGGATATCAGCTGACTTGGCCAAGATTTGGTGGGATATCCGCTGACTTGGCCAAGATTTGGTGGGATATCAGCTGACTTGCCCAAGATTTGGTGGGATATCAGCTGACTTGCCCAAGATTTGGTGGGATATCAGCTGACTTGGCCAAGATTTGGTGGGATATCAGCTGACTTGCCCAAGTTTTGGTGGGATATCCGCTGACTTGCCCAAGTTTTGGTGGGATATCAGCTGACTTGCCCAAGATTTGGTGGGATATCAGCTCACTTGCCCAAGATTTGGTGGGATATCAGCTCACTTGCCCAAGATTTGGTGGGATATCAGCTGACTTGCCCAAGATTTGGTGGGATATCAGCTGACTTGGCCAAGATTTGGTGGGACATCAGCTGACTAGCCTGAGTTTTCCTCACATAAATGATAGAGGGGTGTTTATGGTCATTATAAGTAATTATTTAAATGATCCAGGATACAATAAATGCAATTTAGCAATAGAGAAAATACAGTTTGTGTTTTCAGAAAAGATTTTGGAAACACAGACTAATAAATATGTTTAGCCCAACAATTGTTACTCCAAAACATGTTTATTGGTTTGCAGATTTTCTTCACAGTGACTGATCAGTTGACAAATCTAGTAATTATGAGTATTTTTTAATAAAGCTGATCATCAATAATTCTGTAATTGCAGACCTGGCACTTTAATAATTACAGAAACGAAGAAACATATTTTTTTGTATTTCCCCAGTCAGTCAAAATTTTGAAGTAGCAGTGAAAATGTTTCTGGGATCAATTATAAATTTAATTAATTCATAAATGCCATAAAATCCACAAATTTCGAAAATTACAGCAACAATTAAGTGGTTTACAGTGTATATGTACCTTAAATATACACCAGAATATACCATGTATAAGTATGGCGACATGAAAGATTCAATTCAGAGCAAGTTTAATGCACACTTCAATTAAACTTATTTCCGACCAATGATGTACTCGTCATCAGAGATCATTTATAGCTGTATATTTTGGCACAACTATGTGTAATATTTATTGTCTAAATATGCACCAATTGCTGTATTGGTTGGTGCATGGAAGGTACTAATGTTAGTATTTACCTTCCATGGTTGATGATTGCATTGGCTTATGATGTATATTAAAATTTCATTTTATGTTTTTAAAATTGTTTGTGTTAGTGTCGATTAGTACTACAAAATGAGGGCACAAATGGCACAAAACAAAAGTATCGTGCAGTAATTCGTAATTTGAGTAGAAAGAGATTCTTAAGGCCACTACCCCTAATCTGAACCCTAACCCTAACACTCCAGCCCAACCTATGTAACTGATGCCCCTCTAGATAACCGAATGTGTTCTGACTGAAGAGGAGCATATATAATTAAAATAGGGGGTAGGGTTAGGATTAGAGTTAAAAAGGGCCTAAAAATTCTTACCCTGAGGCCGGGCCCCCAAGGTTTTCATGACCACTTTTCTTTTCCGGTAATTTCACTCTAACACTTAAAGTGTAACTTTAAAATACTTGAATGAGAAGAAACACACACACACCCCCGGAAGTACCAGGATATGTGACCTTATGGGTCATGCATACGGTCTAAAAAGTTTGATCTCCTCTTTATTTAAGCATTGACTGTTATGTTAACACTCATGAGGAAGTGAAATTCACTTCTATGAAATATCTAAAATGTGAATTCGTTAAACAATTTGTTTTGCATTAGCACGTGTACACAGCCAACGTTTTACCTTGTCATTTCTGAACACAACACCTTCACTGCTCGCCGCCATGTTCGATCGTCTCGTCAACATCAGCGCATGGAATTAGCGCCGAATTCGAGCATCACCGGAATCAGATTCTGCTTGTGATAATAACCAACAAACAAACAAACAAATTGATCTATCAACGATTTATAGATGAAAACAACGTGCAGTTGCGATAAGGACACTTTCCGCCAATTACTGAGCATGTAACCGTAATATACTAGTATACGTTTTCAAAAAGCTGGAATATAGTCAGTAGGAGAACACAATCAAGCATTTTTTTTTATTAATTCTCTTTAATAGACCGTATAGACGATTACGAAACAATTTCGTTCGTTCTCGGGAACCTCGATAAAAAGTTGATTGGCAATTTCTCGCTGTTCATTCTTTCCATGTTTTTGTTTTTTTTCCACTGTCACCCTAATTATAATAATAACTAATACAACACTGATGCGTTATCTCTATTGTAGTTCTAAGCAACGCAAATGCATCATGGTATTCTATTCTTTAACAGTCTGTGAATCCATCCAGTATTAACTAATGACCCATTAAGGTGCAATAGGTGTAATATCGAATATATAGTCAAATTTGACGAAAATATGTTATTCTTAAATATCTTGAAAAAATAATTGAATATATCCGATTTATTCGACAGTTTTTTTGTGTGTTTTTTCTCAGCAAAACGCCAATATATCGTCTAAATATTGACCAAGTTTTGACTAATCTATATGCCACATGGATACCCATGAGTTTAAAGAATCAAATAAATAAAATATATTCAATGATTACTTTCTAAGAGAAAACAGAAACTGGCGTCAAGTTTGTTTCGTCAAACATTGTCTAACATACATGCTACCTGAACAATCATGATGGCGAAACTATCCAATAAATCGAATATCCAATGATGTTTTCGGAAATAAACCGTGACTGAAGTCAAGTTTAACCTGTTACCCCACGAGTTCACTTTTATTTCAATTGTAAACTGGTCATATCAACATTGAAAATAGCCGTTATTGAATGTTCATTCAATATTGTTGGATACTCAGGCTGATATCCCACAATACCATGTGTTCATTTAACGTTGGGGTTTGAACACAGCAGTAAATCGTAATCGGAGTCAGGTACATACACAGCTCGTCCAACAATTGTATATATATTGGAAAAGGCTCAAATCAAATATAGCCAATATTGGATGCTGCCAAATATACGAACATCCCATAGTATCATTTCGTTTAATTCTATCGCGTTCAATAATTTTGTATTCTGTAAAATCGCACAAGTAACAAATCGTGTAACATTATGAACATACTTATTGCCCCCTAGTTTATTTTATTTTTCCCGCGTTGATCAGATAACAATTTTACTACTAATACGAGCAGACCGTACTATAGTATTGGAATAATTACTTTGGCGGCAAAATGATGAGGGGTTAGATAATTATTTGTCCTGATGGTTATTAAAGGCCTTTACTTAAATTTTTGCTAAATGGTTATCTACCAAAATATTAGAACAGTAGTTGGACAAAATCTTGGTCATACAGTGACACGCAGTTAAAAACTATGCCCAAAAAATAGTGTTTCTGAGCAAAAATGACCTACATTTTTTAAAAATGACTGAGATTTAAAAAAAAATTGGAGCCAAAAAGATCAGTTCGACCCTGAAAAACGGCGGTCAAAAATCGCGGTGCATACCCGTATGTCTCAACCATGAACACACTATAACAGTCTTACGAATTAAAAATTGGACGAGAAAACAAATACAACGTGAACTATATTCAAATCTGAATTGAATAACCTAACACATTTTTTTAAACACCATTATAATGTAAAATTTCTAACAAGCGAAACAAACTAAAAAAAATAAATATGAAGTGATAAAAATTATAAGTGATAGGGTTTTAAAAGTGATAACGTTGTCTCTATGTTTTGTTTTAAAACATGGGACGATTTTTGTATGCAAATGTCAAGGGAGCTATACAAATGTTAATTTTAACTTGACACCGTGGCAAGCACGGAAACAGAGATGACATTTCACATGTAATGTAATTTTTTATCACTTTATGTTTATTTATTTTAGTTTGTTTCACTTTTGGTAGAAATTTTATATTATGGTGTTGAAGGGTATGATGTTATGTTATGTTATAGCGAAGAGTTAAAAATAAAATCAATGTATATGTAGTCGTGTATTACTTGCCGGTATTACTGGTTTTATAATTGTACTTAATAAATATGCTGTACATTCTGAACAAGGCCTGGCATTGTTCCCTCTTTTATTTCATCTTTTCATGAATGATTGGCGATATAATGGAAAGTTATATAAAGGGGTATACGTAGGAAGTTTATGCCGATGATTTATTCATTCATGATCATTCTAGAGTCGGATTGCAAAGGCGGTTGGATAAATTATGAGTTTGCTGTAAAATGGGAGCTCTAAGGCAGTGCAAAGTCTAAAATTATAGTGTTTATTGTCTCTATTTGAGACAATATAGAAAAAGCCCATTTCTCTTTTTGCAAGTATATATAAACTAAATGTTGTTTATAACACCTGTAACAACGCAGCACTGGGTGAACTTGCCACATTTTCTCTAGTTAAACATCCTGGAACGTGACGTTTTCCTGGACAATTACAGGCTCCGATAGGGTATATGTAGACTTGGTTAAAAATCCTATTATTGTTACAAGTTGTTTTTCAATTATAAAATAATGCGATAAAATGAATAAAGTATAAAATCTTATTTTTGGTCATTTTCAGGGATTTGTAAAGTGGTCATGTTTTGTTGAATTAGGCGGCAGCTGGTGTTTCTTCTCTTAGGATAATGAATTGATAAATGTATTTCTCTAATTCAATTAGTATTGTATTGTATTGTCCTGGTTTATTAGCATACTGCGATTAATTTGCATTGATGAATACTACGTGGAACCTGAATCTGAAACCGTAATGTGAATCGACCTTCACACTTTATAACGTGCCACTACATTGGTCGGTTCGGACCACCAATATCCAATTGAATCAGGCGTTTTGAATCAACGCATGACCTTGATCATTTTCAACATGGCCGCACCGGTGTAGCCATCAAATGTTGAGGAGATGAAAAGCTACGTAAAATTGACAGATAATTTCGCCAAAAAATAGATATCCGATAACTACAAAACTTAAGACTGCTACTGTGAAATCATCTTGTTCGTCTTGACACCGGAGGTAAGTCGATCAGCATTTTGTATCTTGCCAATCGAAGTCAACGCTTGCCTTTGAGTTTAAATGAGGACAAATTGCGGAACGCCATAGTACTACTATTGTATTCTGCCATTGCACGTCACCGTAATCTCAATCCTCTCAAACTAATGACTCCTGGATACGTGTCATCAAGTGTCTATTTAGACACGGTTGTTAAGATTTGGGCGACTAACTAATACACGGCGTGCCTGAACACAAATTGAAGCGTCTAATAAATATGCATATGCGTCGACTCTTGTCTCGTCTACTCTTACAGTACTAGTATATTTGTGTTCATAGACTATGTATACTATTGCATATATCTTTTGTATTTAATATGTAGATACAGTTATATGTACATGCATGAAACCGTGGAGTTTTGAGGATTTACTTTGACTATTTTTTTACTGTACTGTAAACAGCTTTATTTCCGCGTCCCATTTAATAGGAACATTTGTAGCTGTCTATATTCTATTGGATACGATCTAAACTGCAAGTAATTATGTAAACTATGCATTATATTGATTGTGATTATGTCTACGCATTTATCAGTTAAGAAGTGTAAACAGTGAAATATATCCCTCATTTTTTTTTTTTTTTTACTGGTAGTGACTTCCGCGAAAATTCGTTGCTGCCAACTACCTAATCTTGAATGTATTTTGATTATGACTTGGTGCTGAGACTAATATGCTTTTACTGCATGTAAATTTGTGTTACTGTGAACAAAAAAACAGCTAAACCCGCAAGAAAAAACATTGCTAACAAAGTAAGTGAAAGACATAATGCTGAACCCTAGTTTATAAAACCTTAGTTTGTAGATACCGATCATCAGCTTTCATCGTCAAGTATTTAATAATGATTGTTTCTAGAGTCTCACATTGTCTATGCCCATACTGCGAACATAGCAACGTCGTTTTCATTTATAACGTTTATAACATCCCCAGGTTTATGCCTTTCACGGTATTGATTTCCTACTGTTACAAAACTGTTACATTAGAACTATCAATATTGCTATTTTGTTTGCAAAACAGTGAGCTTATATTGCTGGTTTGGTTGCTTTTTTCGTCCACAGTAAATAAGTTATCCAGTATCTACCATGTACTCAATTATATGCTATGTTATATCTTCAGATTGTGAATTAATTATTATCTGAATACTATGTCATATCGTGGATCATCTAACCAGTCCAGCTTTGGTAGTGGACAACCGTACAAGTCAACAATGATGACTGATCAAGAAAGATTGATTCTGGAGAGAAAGTGGGAAATAGAAAGAAAACTAGCTGAACAGAGTGCAATCGAAGAGAAAGAAAAAGCTAAAGCTAAAAAGACAGAAATTAAATTCCAAATTAAAGCGTAAGTATACATCTAATTTGTCCATATTGTAAAATGTACAATTAAAGGTACATTTAATTTTTCAGATGATTTTATTGGCTCCCATGAAGTAGCTATGTGTAGGCTTCTCCCAAGATCATTATATAAAAAGGGGCCCTCCTACTCTATAATTTTTGATAAAAAAAAGCTAAATTATAACACTGAAGATAATGAAGGTGATTATCATATTATGTTGTTATGCATATTAGCCGATACACCATTATGTTTATTTCCTGTTTTTTTCTTCAAATACAAATATTGTTAAATATACAAGTCAGTGAATAACACTGCAGAGCAGTTTTGTGTATTTAAAATTTATTTTTTTCATGAAGTTATTAACTAAAATATGGCATACCGTAAAAACTCGATTAATTCGCGCACCCATTTTATTTTCGAACGCTAATTTTTAAATGTATCCTTTTAATTCGCGGCATTCAAAAACATGTTTAAAATTGTATCCTATTAATTCGCGGGCCAGAATAAAGTGGATAGTTCAGAATATATTGCATGAAGACATTAAAAATATACATTTTGTTCGAGTTTTTATGTTATCAGTACTTGGTGGAGCCATAGTGTAGCCGCAATCACGGACAATCTCAGTCATCACAGCCTTTCAGTTAGCTCAGACCACTAGATTTGACCTGAAAAAAATCACTTCCTCCACGACACTACAGATGTTGGACAAGATTATTACTTAGTCGATAAATATCCATCGGTCAGCACATCGATTGCGAATGATGGAAAGCTTAGTACAGGGCTTTTCGTCGCTGGTCCATAGGGTTGCATCGACACTACCGCCCGATAGTGCGTAAATTGACATTTTTGATTGGTTGGGCGTTTGACCTCGTGTCACATTTTCATTATACCAGATTCAGTAAAAACACAGAGTTAAGCGGTCATGTATGTTCTATAAATCTAACCTTGCAAACATAATCTTGTACTGACATGTTTTTTGTCCAAAAAAGACGTTCCCTTTCATTTAACCCCCAGTTAACTCTTCGCGTTCATGGTATTTGTGAGAGTTGAAAGATTTTTTGAACAAATGACAAGTAACTATATTGATTTGCGTCAAGCTGGGTGGCCCGAATTTAAATATCAGTGCATGAACTCTGGAGGTCATTGCCCAATGCCGCACGTAATTCAAACGCGTGGTTATTAGAGTTCAGTCAAAATGTACGTGAATAATGCGATTGAAGTGTGCTGCCCAGAGTTTATTATATTATAGTAAAATTTAATTTGACGTATGATATGTTTATGTTTGCGTAATTATTACAAATGCAACGCATTATCAAGTCGGTGATATTGGAATATTCACAGACCCAATGCCCCTGGTCGGTGCCCTAACAATAGTAAAAAAAAACTAATTATCATAGCATGAAAGCAATACATTCCGAAGTTGAAATATTCAGAGCCGATACAATATTGTAAACAAGTTTGCGTAATTAGAAAAGCAGTGCACTAAGTAAACAACGTTGATATATTCAAAGCCAGTACATAGTTGGATACAGTACCGTCGGATATAATAAAAATTTTACTAGATTGACGTGCGGGCACGAAAGAAAAAGGTTGCTAAGGTAACGCGCCAGTTCAGTGCGTGACTTGGGGTCAAACTTCGGTCAACACACACTTGATGTCAGCATCGCCGCGCAGCAAGTTTTGCAAAGAAGTACTTGAAGTTCAATTGTGTCTCAAAATGATGTCACTGATCACTCAGTTGTCGCAGCTCGTGTTGTGTCATGTCCACGATGCACCCTGTTTCGACTTTGGCTTGCTTTTCCTTCTTAGTACATGTTCTTGTTCACGTAAAATGCAACCTCTCACCAATGTATTAAACACTTTGAATTTATACTTTGCATGATAATATTTGGTCAACACAAAACATTATCTTTTCTAAACATTTTCTGAGACCATTTTTATCAACGCAGGGTTATTTTTCCAGACAAGATGGGCTTCGTAATATCTGCCATAACATCACCCGGGCGATCTTTTGGTCCACATTTTTCTAAAAAAAATCGAATCCTCCATAAGATCGCCCAGAGCGGGGTATCAGTCGAATCCGGTAGATAAAAGTGCTTGACAAAAAAACAAAACAATCGAGCAAGCAATAAACACATGGCTACAAAAATGCAATCAACGGGGCAGAAGACCACCTTATCCGAAGCAACACTGAAATAGCAGAAATCATTGCCGATCTGCTTTTAAACGACGACGACGAAGATGGTGATTGGTTTGACGGCTTCACTGCTGACGACCTGTCGAACAATTGATAATTTGTGTCTGACGTACTGGCAGTGGCAGTGCAGCCAGACGGCTACATTGTAGCCACGTGTTCATTGTTTGTTTGTGTACAGAGTGACCTTTGCCATTTCACTGTTCCATTTCAAGTGTATCATGGTGCGTGGTCCTTGATGCATCGCGTGTTCTCTGCCTGACTATACGCCATAAAACAACGTCCTGTCATCGTGTTCATTGGAAAACAAAACAAATCACTAATAAATTTATGAAAACAGCTCCTTTTTGAATCGTTCTAAAAGTACTCTTTTAATTCGCACAACAAAAACCAATAATTTCCGTTTTTACGCTATTCATTCGCACACTTGAAAAAAATAATTATTTTTACTACCGCGAATTTATCAGTTTTTACGGTAGTGTGTCTAATTAGGATGTGTCATGGAATAAAAGGAGTGTTTGTAATGAGTGTTGATCTTCAAAATGTCCTTACAATTTACTCTAAAATTAAATATTTTCAGAAAAAGCAAAATCTCATTAAATAAGTCTGAAAGATCATGCATTACAATATTACATTTCAATAATTTATACATGTAAGTATAAATAAGTATGTCTGCCTGGAAATAAATACTGTGTTTGCTAGTAGTGCATTCACTTATATACATCACAGAATTGTCTGTGGTCAAAATAAGTAATTTTAATAATCCAGTATACAATGGAGGTGCACTTTTCATGGAGTAATATGGCAAGTCGGAAAGAATTTAAATGAGTATGTTTGTCTCAAATTAAATAATTTGGAAAGATATACAGAAAAATATAACGTCTGAACAATAAAAAAAAGTGTGTACGGTATTTATATCTAAATTTTCCGAAAATTTTGTGGTATACAAGTAGTATATCCTTAATGCTATACATGTATATGATAATTTTATAAGTATGTTGTGATGAAAGAAGTTACTTGTAAACATGAAATAATTAATATTTTTGTTCTTAAAAATGATACAAGCTGTAATCATATTACTTTGATTTAGTTTTCTAAAAGATTTAAAAAATCTAGATATGAATGATTTATTTATTTATACATGTATGAGAAAGTATGGTAATTTAAAAAGCATTTAGCTGAAAAGCTGACACGATTCAAGAAATAAATAAATAAAAAAAGTCAGATTGTGCTTGTGTTGTTGCTAACATATGTACACATTTTCTGGGCTGCTGATTAATTATGCAGCATTTACTACATAGTACACCTTATGTCTAGGTCTTGAACTTCAGAGGCATTGAAGAATTTGGCTTGATGCCCAATGACTTTGTCTTGTATATGTGCTAGGGCCATTTTTAATATTTTGGCCTTGAAAATGTCTGCTCTCGCAACTCAGAAGTTCATGTCCCAAATGCCTACATGTCTGCATGATCTCAATGTGTTGTTAACCACTATATACTATTTCTGTTCTGTATGCAGACCATCAAGTTCTCAACCCAAACCTGAACCAAAAGAATCTGCCAACCATAATATATTCAGTAATGATGGAAGTTTTCTTGCACAATTTAAAAAAATGCAGCAAGGTATGCAGCAAAGTGACAAAGGTAAGGCTGAAAAGGCAGTAATCATTCACAAGATTTTAATTAATTTTGATTTTTTTTGCTGATATACAATAAAACCCGATAAATTAAATTCATGTAAAGTCGTCATTGACTTCATCGTAAAACATTTTCTTGTGGTTACATTAACCCAAAGCAGTTTTCATACATTCTCTTTCAAACTTGGATATTTTATTAACCAGTATGAGATCTCAGCAAAAATGTTTGATCATTTGCAAATATTATCAATCACTATAAAAACAGATGATTTCTTCATCCATGTGTTCGATGTAGTGTGTGAATCATTTATTTATCAGTTACGAGGACTTGTTCAAACACTGGTCCATTGCAAGACTGGTTTATAGAGGGAATGTGGTATTTAGCAATTCATCATGGTTTGTCTGATGTACATGCATTCCTGAATAAAAGAACTGAATTTATTTCACCTGTGATTTTACAGGCAAAGATGTTTCCTCAGGATCATCAACAAAGTCAAAAGCTGCAACAGCAACCAAACCAATCATTATTGGTAAAAAGATTGGTGGTATGAAGCTAGAATTAAAGAAGACACCACCAAACATAAGCACTAAGACATCATTATCAAGAGCTGATGTCTTTGAAGATCCTGATCAGAACGAATCAAATGGTAATTTGCATATTTTTTATACCCTGGGTTAAATTGCCGAAGACCAACATCACAGAAAATTTGAGGTTTCTTGTACATTGTCAAAGCTTGTTTTATTACATTTCTAATTACTAACGATAAAATGCTTGGTTATCTATTAGAAGGGTTCTGTCGATAGCTATGGCTTAGACCTATGTATGTACCTTGTGTTATTATGTTTCATTGTTATGATCTGCTGCTGACTGACCCCTTTTTAACCACTGAGTAATTCTGAAATGCACTCTTTCAAAAAAAAAGTAGTTCAATGCCAATCTCAAATGTAGTGTAGTAGGTGCAGAGTGTTTATTAGTTTGATGTGAGTATTGTATAATGGTCCAGATATATGCTTCATTGTTTTGTTGTTTGTTTTGGTCGGATGTCAACCCTTATAGCTATTAAAATCGGGTGTGCTCGCCTGCATTTATCAACTCGGTGCTTATAGGAGTCCTTTAAGTTTCTCCGCCAGAGGACCCAGAGACCAAACAGGTAGTGGAACAACTGGCTAAGTTTGTTGCAGAGGGAGGAAATGAAGTTGAAGAAATAGCCATTGAACGAAACAAAGACAATCCAGCATTTTGGTAAGAATGGTACATTGTATTCAAATTAATAAAAATATGAATAGTTGTTTTGTCAGCAAATCAGTTGAGTTAGGGTTATCTTAAATATAATAGTGCACATTTCACTTGAAGTAACACTGTTTTCAGAATTTTGCATGTGCCTATTTTACTTTTCTATTATTGTTCTTTGTTCTCTGGCTGGTCTTTTCCTCATTGCAAACTATGTTATATTCAGTTAAAAACAGAAGTCCAAATAAAAAAAAATGATGCATTTCTGTTATCCTGACCTTGCCAGATTTTTCATGCTGACCCTGTATCTATGTATGGCTGAATTGGAAATGCAAAATGGGTCCTTGTTGGTAGACCTTTCAGCTCTACTAGAAAGTCTTCATTTTTGAACCAAAATATCAACCTGTACATGCAAGATTTGGTATTTGATTGAAAAAATGCTCTCATACATGTAACTGTATGGGCCAAGCATAATTAATTAAGAATAATTAATTAATTTGACCTAAACTATGGTCATGGCTTGGTCTCACAGTTGTAGCAGTACATTATCATCACAAATAAACATATACCGTATGTATGACCAATTATTGATAGATAATTTTGACCACTCTTTCAATTCACTAGCTTGACTGTAGCTTGACTTTCAGCATATTTTAAAAAATGGCTGATATCAGTTTGTGTAAACATTTGTTATTCTACACACAGGTTAGATGATAATAATATCACATATGATACATATCAGAGTTTTGTCATTATTTGGTTTATTACAGGTTCCTTTACAAACACAACAGTAATGAATATAAATATTATAAACATCTATTGAAGCAGTTACAGAAAAATTCAAATCCACATGAAGGTTGGTTTTACTATATGGTTTTCATATTTTATCTTTTGTTTCCTCGCATCAGCAAGTAATTGTAGGTAACTGTAGTTTTCAGTATTAACCAAAATGCCTGGATATTGTCATAATTTTTAATTTGGCTGATTGGTGGCCATTTTGTTTTAATGAATGTGGTTCTAAGGCATATGTCTGACATGCTTTAACTGAATATGTTCAAATTTTATATATTCATCGTAAATAATGTCATAGATATACAGATGTATGGGTTTGACAATTTGATTCAAAATGGCAGACCGGTGGCCATTTTGTTTTAATTAATGCTGTTTGACGATCAGTTACAATATGACTGACTGAATATCAATAATGTTAAAAAGTTATCATAATCAAGCATCAGCTTCTGGATCCATATTTCTGACACGTTTATGTTCAAAGTATTGGCGATCCGCTCCGCTAGGATTGCCCTTATAATCACTTTTGTCGTTTTGTGTGTGTTTCTGTGTGTGTACATTTCCAGTGTTTTCACGTATGATTTCTTCTGTGATTTTTTTGGCTTGGCCGAATTCGTTCAAACTTGGCAGGTAGGTCACACCTTCACCCTAGTTATTAGGAAAAATCTAAAAAAAATGTTTGGCCCACCGTTGCCATAGCAACAGCCAAAAAACTGATTTTTGGATAGCTTCGCGCCAAATGTATCTCCTCCTACAAATTTGGGATAAAACACTTCAGACATAGCTCATTCTATTCAGCTTGAGTGTGGGCACAAAGTTACTATTTGAATTTTTGATATCTGTTTTCATTACCGAGAAATTTGACCCCAAAGTTGGGGTAACTTTTCACCAGCAACGGCTTGTAACTCCTCTGT